CTCGTGGGTTTATGGTGCGTCTCGGGCCTTCGTCTTCAATGCCTTGCCAATATTCAATGGCTCCCAGAGGGATGTTCGTGGGAACAGACGACGCTGGTTGCCGACGTGCGGGTGGCCCCGCTGCTGCAGCTGGCGCCGCTTTAGCGGGTGGCCCCGCAGAGCCTGCGGCTGCCGAGGCAGCTCCAGCGGATGACCCCGCGCCAGGGTGCGGGTGACCTTGGTCAGCCCGCGCGTCGTCGGCTAGTTTCTGTCGGTCGTCAAATTCTTTGAGGGCTCTGAAGCGTTCTTCCCTTGAGAGAGTGCCTTCTGCGGGTGTCCCCGCTGCTGCAGCTGGCGCCGCTTTAGCGGGTGGCCCCGCAGAGCCCTTGTCCTCCTTACCTTTGGCGACTGCTTCTGCCCGCACCGACCTCATCCCAGCCTCGGGCTTCGGTTGTGCTTTCATTCGTGCCGAGCCTGGTCGTGGTGCAAGGCGCGGCTGATGCAGAGTTGGAGTCCAGTCACCTCGGAAGGCTGCCTTAGGCTGGTCGCGAACTTCGTCCTTGACATCGCCTTGGGCAGCCGGTGGCATCGGGGTTGATAGTCCAGCAAAAGCCTTCCTCCTCTCCGTCACGGACGGGCCGGTTGGCCCTCCCTGCTCAGGGTCGTCCTTCTTGGCGATCCCTCTGGCCTTCGCACGCCCCTGTGTACCTTCGGGGCTCTTGGAAGGGTACCTCTTCGCAGGAGAAGGTGGAGACGAGGAGTCGGCTTCAGGTCCTGGAGGCGGTTTGTTGCCCTCGTCTGGTTGTGGGCCAGGAGGGTCTTTAGGGGGGCCTTCTGGCTGGCCGTGATCATGGATGATCTGCCTCATCTGGTCGATGTTGGCAGTACCTTTTATGGCCAGCTTGTATTTGCCATTTTCGTGGCGGTAAAGTACCCTCGTGCAAAACCACTTCTGTGCCGAGGAGCTGTAGTACCAGCAGGCGCACCCATCAGGGAATGGATTCTCTGAGCCGTCTTCCGCCGCCCATTCTTCATTCAGTTCGGTCTGGTCAGTACCGGCGGCGGATCCGGCAGCAGATGCAACAGCCATCCACTCTTCGTCCGCGGACCCAGCGGCTGGCGCCGCGTCTGCGGGTGACCCCGCTTCTCCGCTGGATTCTGCGGGTGACCCCGCCTCTTTATGGAATCGGCGGTTCCATTCTTTGAGGCGATGGTCTTTGGGAAGCTGTTCCCAATTTTCCCTGACAGTGTCAGCGACCTCCTCGGTCATAGGGACGCGATCGGCTTCAGTGATGCGCTTTCCTCCTCCAGGGACCTTCTTGTTAGGATCGTGGACGGTGCCGGCGTCATCTCCATGAGACCAGTTCCAGGGGGTCTCACCGTGATGAGGGCTCCTGGAGGGGCGGTCCATTGGACAGCCGCGCATGTGACCTTTGAAAGGCTCGCATTGACATACTTGTTTCCTGTATGTCTTGCGATCGTTGATGATCCCCTGTTTCTTAGCCCTTCGGTCCCAAGCCTCTGGCGTTTTAGTCTTGCCACCTTTGGTACGTATTATCATGCCAGATTCGTCCCGTTTGCAGTGCCCCTTGGACCACCATTGGCGGATCACGTCCATCGAGTAGCCGGGGTACCAATTGATGTACCACTCCGGCACGTACTGAGCGGATACACCTACGGAGTGCTCCGTGCTGTACGGGTAGCCAGATGCATCATGTGTAGGGCGTCGTGGAGCTGAACGGCTCCTCCTGCGGGTTGGCCCCGCTGACGCACTGCCGCGTTCCATGGGCCTTTCATCTTCATGACGGTGCTCTGGGTCTCGGGGTGGCGATGGTCGTCTGTTCTTCTTTGCATGGCGCCTGTCATCCGAGTCCTCTGAGCTGTCCTGGACCATGAATACGTGCTGATGCGGGCTTTGAAAGTACCCGATGTCGGTCAGCTGCTCCATCGTGAGGTCATTGAGGTCCATCTGGTCGCAGCCCTGCATGAATACGTCCATAGACCAAGCGGGTGGCCCCGCTGCTGCAGCTGGCGCCGCTTCGGCGGGTGACCCCGCTAGAGCCTGGAGTGCAGTCAGCATCTGAGGTGCCGACATATCATGATCCAGGTATGGACGCAACCTTGCGGCCCCTGGGCGCGACAGCAGGTCGTTCATGGTTATCTGCTGATATGCTGGCGCACTCAGGAGCTGGATCGCTTCTGCGACCTGCTCTTGGAGCCTGTCCTTATAGTCCTCTTCGGCCTCTTCAGAGTCAGAATAGGCTGCGGGATGGCCCCGCATTTCATCATCAGCGTCTCCCGCTTCCGAGCCGGCTCGCGAAAGATCAGGCAGCAACGGCGTACCAATCACCTGCGGTGCCAGCGCGGCGGCGAGCTCCTGCTCGGTCGCCGGGACGGTCTCGCTTCGGAGATCTCGTCGTCGGCGGGTGGCCCCGCTGGAAGACCGAACCAGGCATTGAACGCGACCTCGTCGACTTCGTCCCAGCCGTGGAACTCGTCGAAGAGGGTCACCGCGTACTCT